TGAGAACTAACATGAACTCGATAAATTGATTTCAAAATATTTATTAACATGAGATTAGTGCTCCCTTTTTTTGCAATTTGATTAGGTTTGATTGTGACTTGATGCTAATTAATTATTGTTACAAGTTACGTACAAAGATAAAATAAGGATTTGTCAAATTTAATTTAGGTTATGTTTTTTATATTTGAAAAAAAAGTTATTTCAAGATTCACCAACTTTAAATTTATATATTATTTAATAATATATTAATATTAAACTATTAAAACTTNTTATCAACTTCAAAATTTATATGTTATGTAATACTATACTAGCATTAAACTATTAAAACTTATTGAATAATTAGATTTTTTGAATAAAATATTATTAAAAATAAATTCTCAAAATTTTAAATTCCATTTTTATGTTTTCAGAAACAGTTTTTGGGAATGGCAAAAAAAACGCATTTTCAGAAATTTCAAAACAGACACTTAAAACACAAAACACAAAGTGAATTCAAAACTCAAAACACAAAGTTGAAACACAAAGAGAACAACCCCTAATTTTTTTAAGGCAAAATTAAAGTTTTTAAGTTATTTTTCACTCATTATTTAGATATATAAAATAAAGTAAAATGTTTGACCAATTTTTTAAAAAAAATCTATAAATGATTCGTTAGATAGATATAAGTTACACATAAATAATAATAAACACTTTGTGTTTAAGTGATGAAGAATCCATTGTTCTAGTTAGAACCCCAAGATTCAATTTCTTTGAATCCAAAAATTTTGCAAGGGGATTTCAAAACCCGATCAACCGGGCCGGTTAAATTGTTGGTTAACTCGGTCAAAGCCCAATTTTAACCGAGTCACATACATTTTTATCAAATTGGTGTTACATGCTCCCACAATGACATTCAACATCGTTGCTCGTGTAGTAGCTAAGTTAGCACCATCGTTGTCTTTACGATGTAAGCGTAGAAAGCGACTCAAATTTCATTAGTAAATGCCTTTTAGATAAGAATGTAGAATATGTCACTCCCACAAACTCCAAATGACACATGATTAGTACTATTTAATTTGATTTAGTTCGATCACATCATGTATAATACAGGGTATAAATATTAAGTAAGATATTGCTTATTAAATATGCAAATTCTTCTATTTTTATTGTATCAAGTTTTATATTAACAAATTAAAAAGAATAACTGAGTTCCACGAAATTGCCTTTTCATAGCTGGATTTGGACAAACCAATTGACCCTTGAGAACAATTTTCAAGCAGGATGGCGTGCAGTCAAGTCTATTACATCCTTTTCATGCCAGTTGCTGCCATCAATCTCGACCATTTCACAATTCTTCTTCTTCTTCGTTACTTCGTATACAGTATTAATAATAATTCTTATTTGACGAGACAAACTTAATGCCTGATATAGATTCTCTAAAACTTATTTTTTTTCGTACTTATTTTCAATTACACATATTTTAGTACAATAATTTTACATGTTGACTCGTAATTTTTTTTCCAATTTTTTAATCACACATTCTTTAAAATATCACCTTTTTACAAAATTTTCAAAAAATCTACATCAAACTGACCTTAAAGTTATTTTCTATTGGGATTTTCAGGTTTTTATTTTTTTTCCCCTATAGATTATGCTCCATTTAATCTAGATTGTTCGAAGGGATAAATACAAAAAAAAAAAAATTCAAATTTTATTACTGCTTCACTCGTATTAACTAGATAATTGACCGATCTCACAATACTGAAGTCTCTCGTGCTAAAGTTACATTTAAATTAGACTTGACTCATAACAAGAGTGAGCGATAAAATTATTTTACTACATCAAATATATTACAAACAACAATATACTTTTGAGCCTCAAAGCACGTCTTTAAAAAAAGAGGCAATATTGGAGTGTAATGATGTTTTTGGTAGGTTTATTACATATTTTTTTGTTTAATAAGATTATTACGGTCTAATTTAATGTATTAAACATTATCTGAAAGTGCGTGATACGGTAAAAAAACTTCCTAAACTAAAAAAAAAAATCATTTTTGGTGAATACATAAATACATTAATTTAAAAATATTGATT